CCCCCGGAGCGGCCCTGCCACTGCCGGCCCCGGCCGTGCCAGCTGCCCATGGGGCTGCCCCGGGCCCCCACACGCTGCAGGAGCAGCGGCAGCAGCCGCCCTTCGCCGTGCCACGGCCGCCGCAGCCGCCCGTTCACATGCCAAAGATGATGTCTGAGAACCAGTACCCCGCAGAGCACAGGTAAGGCAGCCCCCACCCCAGCAGCAAACACAGGGGGCTTTATGGGGCCTCCTGGCGTGGGTGGGTGGTCCCAAAGGGTGGGGGAGAAAGAGAAATGCTCCTGCCTTCGTCCCCGTGCTGCGGTTGCAGTTGGGGGGCCAAATGTCATTGCCTGGGGTCCCGTGTGGCAAAACTTGACACTTCCTACTGGGATTTTGTGGCTCTTTCTCCTGCTAACAGGGAACTGCTCCGTCCAGTCCCTGAACATTGTGCAGAGCCTTTGCCTCCCTCCTGGGAAAGGCAAGGGAGGCAGAGGCTGACTCCTGCATCCACCCATGTTCCAACAGGTGATGGTCCTGAGTCAGGGCTCTGCTCTCCTCATTCCCACCTGCTGTAGCGCTGCCTCCCAAGCCAAACCCCACTGGTCTGTGGAGCTGTGGCCATCTCTGACCTGCCCATGTGCTGGGGGTGGTCCTGAGCTCCCCCATGCACTGCATGGCATCACCACGGTTTTGTGGGCTGTGGGGGGAGACCCCTGTTCCCTCCTTCCTCTGCAAGCTGTGGCTCCATTCCCCATCACTCCCGTGTCCCTGGAGGCTCTGCCAGTCTCTTCCCTCACCCTGGGTTTGCTCCTATGGGTGCTCTCAGCAGATGCTCTGCTTATGGCATCCGGATGTCCTTTGCTGTGACAGCCACTGTGTCACCCCTGTGGGCATGGGACAAGATGTGGCAGCCTGGCAAAGGCCATGCAGTGGGGCCAGGGAAGCCCTTGGAATGTGCCCACAGCAGGCAAGCATCCTTCCCCATCAAAGCGGGGCTCCGTGTGACCTTCAGGCTGCGCAGGGGGCTGGCTGCGACCCCTTGGGGGAGCACTGTGCCAGCATGGGGCTTGGGTTTCATTCAGGAAGGGCAGAGGGACACGGCTCGGAAATGGAGTAATCCCAGCCCGGCAGCTGGGAGAGCTCCGGTTACAAAGCCAAATGGTGCAAGGCCGGCTGAGAGGAGCCGACACGGAGATCCAAGATCACCTTTCAAGGTGCCGGAGGACGAGGGGATGTGGCAGCACCCCCTCGAGATGGTCCCTCGTGCATGGGCACCAGCAGAAACCGTGCTCTCAGAGCAGCGGTGGCAGCGCCATGGAGCCGAAAATAGTGCTCCCTGCTGTCGAGTTCAAGGTTTAATCCCAGCTGCGCAGGCGGATTAGCAGCCGGCTGAGGCTGCGGAGTGGATTTGGCTTTGCGTAAGCACCCACCCATGCGCAGCATCCCTGGCCCCTGCCCCCCACGCTGGGGACAGATTTTACTGGTTTACAGAGATGTGAGTGTTGTGGGGTGTTTTTTGTTCCTTTTTTCATTCCTTTCCAGATACCTGAAGGCCTGAGTGCTTTCCTGTGATGGCCCGTGTGTTATCCTGCAGTTCCATCTTGGGGTGCTCGAGGCATAGAGGGGCACAGGGCTTCTCAGCACCTCACTGTGTCCCCGTGGGATGAGCCCCACAGGTGGCTGGACTTCTGAGGAACCATCCCAGCCTCCTGTGGGTAAACCCTGGGAGCACTTGAGGCTGAAGGCACCCAGCTGTCAGGCAGTTCTGCTTTGGGGTGGGAGCCGGCGGCAGGGCTGACCCTCGCTCCTCAGTAATGCCGCGTCCTTCTCCCCCAGGTTTCAGAGGCAGCTGTCCGAGCCCTGCCACCCCTTCCCACCGCAGGCCGGGGTTCCGGGGGACAGCCGCCCCATCTACCACCGGCAGCTGTCGGAGCCCCTGGGCCCTGCTGCCCCCCGCCCCCCTCAGGGATTCAAGCAGGAGTACCATGACCCTCTCTATGAGCATGGCGGCCCTGGCCTGCCCGGTCCCCCCGGCCACAGCTTCCAGCCCCCCATGGGCATCAAACAGGAGCCCCGGGACTACTGCATTGACTCAGGTGGGTGTGGGTCAGGGGACAGCCAGCTGCCAGCTGGGGTTACACCAGTGCCACTCCAAGGAGCAGAGCGTCTCCACCCATCAGCATGGCAGGGGCAGGGTTGAGCCTCAGGTGGTGGATGCTGTATCACCCTGGAGCCCCTCTGGGGCTGAGGTGTTGCTTTGCCTTTTTCTTTCCTCCCTTTTCTCCTTTTGCAAAGCCAGGGGATAAAGCAAATGTTCCCCTGATGCCAGTGGTGTGGTCAGTGCCATAGCCACAGGCTGGGGTGCCCCACAGTGCCTGGTGGGACCCCCCATGGCTCTGGCTTAGGGCCAGCTGTGATTGCTGGCTGCTGGACCCTACCAGCATCACGGAAAAATCCTCTAATCGCCTTAGCACCTAAAAATACCCCAGCCTCGGGATGGAGGGTGGCACGGCCAAGCAGATGGTAGGGGAGGCGCAGCAGTGCCTCCCTTCATGTGAAAACTCGAGCTGACTTTAGCCCATGCTCCATCCTAAATTCCAGTGCCACCCCATATCATACTGAGTTTTTTTTTCTCCGATATTCAGGGTGTATGTAGTGGACCAGGGAGTGTAGGGAGGGGGGAAGATTCCAGGACATGCTCGGGGTAAAGAATATGCTGCCAAATCCATGGTGGCACCCACAGGGTTTACAACTTTAATGTCATTTCATTTCTCCCTCAGAAGTGCCTAACTGCCAGTCCTCGTACCTACGGGGGAACGTCTTCCCCAACAGCCATGACGGTGAGTGACTCTCCCACTCTCCCTGTGTCGTGGCCCCATCCCACCCCTCACTTGTGGCAGGCAGCACTCCCTGGGCACCCAGAAAACACCCATGGGGGCACCGTGGGGCCCGGGAGAGCCACATGTGCCGGCACCGGCCCCAGAAGCAGCCAGCAGCCCCTGTGAGCGTGCCGTAAGGGCACGGCAGCACCGTGTAATCTGGGATAATGCTCCCGACAGAGCTGCTAATAGGGTTTGGGAGCAGTGAGGGGGGGCAGAGCTGCACAGGGCTCAGCCACTGAAATAAGTGGGAACCGGGCTGCTCCCAGAGCTGTGGATGGGGTCCTGTGCTGGATTCAGCCAAGCCAGGGTTCTTTGGGGTCCAGCCAGGGTAGTGGAGGGGTCCTATGCTCATGAAGGGTCTTTTCCCCGCAGGATTTTCATATGAAAAGGACACAAGATTGTATTTTGATGACACATGCGTGGTACCCGAGAGGCTGGAGGGTAAGAATCTGGCCCCACAGGAGGCCTGCAGGGGAACTGGGGCTCATGGAGAGGAAGATGTGGGAATGCTGCAGTCTGGGATCTGATAAAGCCAAGCAGTGCTGGCACAGTGCTCTTGAGAGCTGCTGAGCATCATCCCACGTGGCAACTTGGCCATCGCTGCTGTGCTCCATCTCTGCCTCTGATGCCTACCCGCCTGCAGCACCCTCCCCAGCACCTCTCCCCTCCCATCCCATGGCCTGATCCTGCTCAGGTGTCTCAGCACAGGGATCACCCCTGTTGTTGTACATGTCTCCTGCTGGTGACACAGCCTGAGAGAGGTGCAGAGTGTTTAACCAGGTGTCTTTGTGCGAGCAGGTAAAGTGAAGCAGGAGCCCACCCTGTACCGTGAGGGCCCTCCCTACCAACGGCGCGGGTCCCTGCAGCTCTGGCAGTTCCTGGTCACCCTCCTGGATGACCCTGCCAACGCCCACTTCATCGCCTGGACCGGCCGGGGCATGGAGTTCAAGCTGATCGAGCCTGAAGAGGTATGAGAGGTCCTGCCCTGGAGCTGGGCAGTGCCTGTGGGGATGCAGGAGCAGGCTGGATCCTTCCCGTGCAACAAGCCTTCCCCTTCGCCCTTGAGGCAGGACACGTATCTCTGCTAACCAGGCAGCTGTAGAAATTTGCTTTTAGTACCTTCCACTGTCTCTTGGCATGACATGTGCTGGCTCCTGAAGCCGGCAGTGGTCACCAGCTGTGGTGGTGTTGCTCTCTGTGCTGTGCCTGGCTGAGTTCTGCTGCTCCACCATGGCTCCCTCCTTCCCAAGCTGCTCCCATCCTTTGCCATGGGTTTCCAGCAGCGGCTCCGTGCCAGAACCACGCGGCTCCACAGGAGGGTGACACAGAGGAAGAAGCTGTTTGGGGAGTAATTGGGAGCAGCTGTAGCCAGCACTGAGCTGCGCACTGTGGGTAATTACCCACGAGATCTCTTGTGCCGTGCATGGAAATTGTAGTATTTTGAAGCCACTTTTTTGGCAGGCTCTCCCTAATGAAATGGCTTCTGATTTGGCCCTTGATCTGGCGGTGGCTGTGTGGTTGCAGACGGAGTATTTATCATAGGAGGTGGGGAACCACTCCCAGACCACGGTGACACCATCGCTCCAGCTGCCCCAGCCCCCTCAGACAAGCCTCTAGCCTGTATTTCAGTTGTGATTTCCTTTGAGGATCCCTGTTCAAGCCCTGGCTGGAGCCCTGATGGCTGCCACCTCTCTCCCCATAGGTAGCACGGCGCTGGGGCATCCAGAAGAACCGACCAGCCATGAACTATGACAAGCTCAGCCGCTCCCTGCGCTACTACTATGAGAAGGGCATCATGCAGAAGGTGAGTGACCCCACACAGCAGGGTTTGACCATCCCCTGCTGTCCCAGGGTGCAAGCAGGAGAGGGGATTAAGTCTGATGTGAGCTGTGTGGTACTTCCCCAGGGCAGGGGTAACATTCAGGGCACCTCTCACGCCCTCCCTCCTCCCTGCAGGTCGCCGGCGAGCGGTACGTCTATAAATTCGTCTGTGATCCCGACGCCCTCTTTTCCATGGCCTATCCAGACAACCAGCGCCCCTTCCTGAAGACGGAGCCGGACTGTCCAGTGCCGGAGGAGGAGACAGTGCCACTGACACACTTTGAGGACAGCCCAGCGTTCCTCCTGGAGATGGATCCCTGCAGCAGCCTTCCCTACGCGGAAGGCTTTGCCTACTGACTCGGCCGGCTGGCAGAGCCATTGGCACTAGCGCATCCACCTGGGGCAAGCACGGTTTTCTAAAGAATATTTTTGGCTGTCCGTGAGGAGGAGGAAAAAAAAAAAAAAAAAAACCAAACCAAAACCCAACGACAAACAGCATGGGTGCACACACAAATTTGAGGAATTTAAAACGCCCCACGTGTGTTGCTGCCGAATTCCCACCCTTCCTTTCCAAGGGCTAGTGCACAGGACTGCCCGTGGCTGGCACCTCCTGCCATGCATCGGTGTGAGGTCTTGGGGCGCCGGGAGCCTAAAGTTGCAGTCTCTTCCCCAGGCCCCAGCTCTGGCAGTGCCCCAGGGCTGGGCTGCGTGGCTACCGAGCCAATTGTCACGACAATCTGCTTTGCATCGAGCACAATCCGCGTAGCTGCCTTGTGTGGTGGAAAGGGCTTTGATTTGCACAGAGAGGAGGAATGCGGGGGGGCCGCCTGGGCCAGCACCCCGGGGCTGATGTGCGCAGCATCCTACCCCAACCCTGAGGAGTCTTCTGCCTTCTTCCTGAGCCCCCTCCCCATATAAGCTGTTGTTCCCATAGAACCCTCCTGCATCCTCTCCGTGCCCTCAATCCTCCCCAGCTCTGGCTACGGGCCATGGGTTGCATTTTGGGGGAGGAGACCCTGACACTAACTCCCTCTTTGGGTTTGTTTTTTTTGGTTTTGTTTTTTTTTTTTTTTGGGATGTTTTAGGAAAATACTAAAGGTTTCTAAACTGATTTTTGTAGATTTTTTGTATTTTAAGGCAAGGCTATTTTTTGCAGCTCGGCTGCTGTCCCTGGAGCCTCTGGGGACGCCGCCATGGCTTTCCTGGTGGCAGGGGGAGCCCTCAATGGCCACGGCTTCCTGGGATGGCTGCCGAAGGATCTGGTCCACTCCATTTCACTGCTCCAGTCCTCTTTCCCAGGGGAGCCAGGGCTGAATCCTGATACTGGCTCAGCTGTGCTCCCCTTGCTTGGCATGGCCTCGGAGCTGGGCTGTAAGGCTGAGGTGGGCAGGGATGGGGGTCCCTTCCTCAATACCCCACTTCCCTCCAGCTCCTCCCACCCCTCGCTGTACCTCCTAACACTCCTCCACCACTCATATATCCATACCTGCCTCCCCTGCACCAGGCTACATGTTTTGTTGTAAATGCTGTATAGGTATTTTTTCTCTTCTTTAGTTAGCTTTGGTTGGAATTTTTTGTTTGTTTGGGGTTTTTTTGGGGTTGGTGATTTTTTTCTTTTTTTTTTCTGTCTCTTTTTTTTTTTTTTTTTTTTTTTTTTTTTTTTTTGGGAAGTATGAAGATTAACTCTACGATGACTTGGTTGCTCTCCCCATGGTGGCTGCAGTGGCCAATACCCATGGGGAGCATTTGGTTTTGGGAACCCCAACCTGGGGACAGGCTTTTAACCATTTGCTTGGTGTGGCAGGTCTGCAGTGCAGAAGGAGTTAATCTGAGGACTGATTTGAAATATCTGTATTCAAGCAGGGCTATGTATCTCCTGCAAAGCTGCATTACATTCTGTACTGTGTACAATAAAGGATCTTGCTTCCTGTTCCTCCCTGAGTACCTGGGCTCCTGCTTTGCCTGCACCATGGGATGCTGCCTGGGCTGGGAGGAGCCCTTGGATGTGCTTGTGAGGTCTGTAGTAGTCCAGGCCATCATTTGGGGCCTGCAGCATGGTGTGTCTGGAGCTGGGACCAAGTAACCAGGGCTGCTCTCTCCCCAGTCCTGCCCTCTCCCCGGTTCTGGATTTCTTGCTCCTGGGTGTGGATACTGCCATGGCTTTCATAAAGCCACATCCTGTGAGAGGATCCTTTGGAATGTGGGTCTCTTCTGCCCAGTAGGTGCAATTTAATATTGCTTCTTCCTAGGGTTTCTCAGTGAGTCTTCCACTCCCCCAGAAACCCAAGCACCTACCATCAAGCAGGGCTAAAGCTGGTGGGGACCTCTCAGGAAAGCCTGTCTACAAGCTACTTGTAGTGCTCTTCCCATTGTCTCCATTTCCAGGCTGGGAAAAACTCAGGATTTGTAAAAAGATGGAGGTGGGTGGAGGACAAGGACTGTTCTGTGAGGACTTGATTCAGCTGAAGGATCTGCGTTTCTCCTGACAGGCTGGAGAAAAACTCAAACACCCAGAACTGCCTCAATTATAGCTGAACTGAGCCAGGGTGTCCACGGACCTCCAGCCCATCCTGTGCAGGGGGTTGGTGTGATGTCAGATACTCTGACACATGTTCTCTTTCAGCTTATTTTCAGTGCCCAGCCAAACTACATCCCTAGATGTGGCAGTGGAGAGATGAAAGGTTCTTAGGTGCCACAATGCTTTTTACACATCCACCCCACCTCACCTGGGTCCACTCTTGGCTGCCAGCCACATTGCTAATGGGTCCTTAAGCTGCTCTTCCCTCATGCCTGATGTATTAAGCTGCATGGAGAAGTGTGGCTGTTTCCCAGCCCAGGCAGGGAAAAGCAGGATCTAAAACATCCAGTACAACCAATTCATCTGGCCTGAAGCCTTCCAGGAGCTGTATCAGCTGTTTAAGCCTCAAGAGCCATCTTGCACTCCCAATCCCATCCCATTTTTATTTTCCACAAAGCTCTGTCCCCTGCCCAAGACTGCAAAACCCAGGTGATCTGAGCTCCAGACAGTGCCTGGTAATCCCACCTCGCTGGGGATTTCAGCAGGCTGAGTCCTGGTGCTCAAGATGGGGAAAATGGGGCCACCGGTAGCGGGGCCGGCAGCAGATGGCCAAGGGTGCTGGGATTCTACCCTGTGCAAAGATGTGGGACCAGTTATGGATGGCGAGGATGAGGATGAGCAGATAAGGCAAAGCCTTTCAAAGCCTTCATCGAGCATCTTTTCACACCACAACCCTGACCCTGCAAATCTTACTGTGAGCAGGGCTGGGGCCCCAAGGGCCTTTCTCATGCTGCTCTTACCCACGGGACAGGTTAGGAAGAGGTGTTTCTCCATTCCAGTTTGTCAGTGTGGAACAGTGGAACTGGGGAGGATGAAGAGGAGCAAGCAGAGAGGCTGGTGAAGGATGAAGCACAATTTTGGGGAGGATTCAGCTATCCATACTGGGAGAAAACCTTGGTGCTGGTGTCCAAGCCTGTCTCCAATCCTCCAGCTCACAGCTTCTACCTCTGAGTGGCTGTTGAGGTAAAAAGCCCATCAGTAGTTCAGGGTGAACAACAATCTGTGACACTGGGTAAGCAGACAATAAAATGGCAGCTGGTATTGAATGGGGAAAAATGTGGTTTTTCCTATTTTCTTCTTTTCACAGTCTTTATAATGTGCCCCAAGTTACCCCCAAGTTACTCTCATTCCCTGGAATGAGAGTTTGGAGTTAGCAGATGGTCCAAGAGGCACAGGTTAAAAATCATTTGGAAAAGAGGAGCCTGTAAAAGGGAGAGCACCATTACAACCCTTTACACATCCATAATTCATGGACTGCATTTCTGCTCCCCCTGTCTCGGAAGCATATAGCAGGACTGGAAAATGTTCAAAAAGCAACAGAGGCAGCCAAGGGCCTGCTATGGCTCTTACATGGGAGTGTATAAATAGTCTGGCACTTCCGACTGGGGCAGGATTTGTGGCTCAGGGGCTTCATATTTAATAGCCCATGACGGAGTTTTCCATTGCTGCCTGGAAGAGCATTTTGGGGAAGAATTACTGCCCACGCAGCTTGTTCTGGCAGGACTGACAAGCCCAGCACTGGAGACCAGAGGTGCTGCATGGCCCACCATGGGCAGTGAGACACAGCTCCCCCCTGGCCCATGTCCCACTGCCCATCGTGGTGGCCTCGTGCCTGTGCTTGGCAGCTGGTTCTGCCAGGGGGAGGGAGGTCACATCACAGCAGCTCCTCAAACAGCTCTTCAAACACTCAGTGTTTTCAATAAGTGGGATGACTTGGCTCTTAAACAACTGGAGCAACATGAGTGGCTCCACGTGCAGAGACAACTTCAATATGAGTCAGCTCCAGAAAAAAAATCCCAAAAACAACCACAGCAAAACAAAACAAAACAACAACCAAAAAAAAAAAAAAAATACATAAAACAAGCAAAGATCTGGGCTGGTGAGGAAGGAAGAGTAAGGAACTTCCACCCGGGGGTGTTCAGGACAACCCAGCTCCCTTCACACTGGTCTGGCACCACCTCGTGGATGTCCATCTGCTGCTTCTGGCCACCTCAGGGTTTTGTGGTAGCACATCTGCACAGGTCTTTGGTATCCAAATGTGGTTCATAACTGCAGGCTGGACACTGTGCCAGGGAGAATTTCAGCCACAGCTTGTTTTCCAGGGCTTCTCTCTGCTTTGTGCTGACTTTCCTGGGAGCTGTGTGTCTGTATTACTGACTTCAAGCCTCCTACTGCTCAGAAGGCTGTAGGGAGACCACTGACCACACCTTCTGTGCTGTACTGAGAAGAGAGCCAGGGCTCCACTAACACCCCAGAGCCTCAGAGCCCTCCAACACTGAGCTCCCAGCCTCTCAGAAGGCACTAACATTGGAATAAGCCTCTAAGAAGCTTCTGAGACCATGAGCCAATTGCTGAATTAAAGGCTCTCAGAGCTACAGGGGAGGCTCCATCATCCTCTTATCATTAACTATGGCAGTAATTGTGTTATTCCTGTGTTCTGTAGGTGCCCCATGGACTCTTCCCAACCATGGGTCATCTACATGGGTTCTTCTGTCTGGGGAACCTGAGACACCTGAAATCCTGAGGCAGGCTTCCTACCTAGAGGAAGGTGTCCCTGCCCATGGCAGGAGGGTGGAACTAGATGCTCTTTAAAGTCTCTTCCAGCCCAAATCATTCTAACATTCTATGATTTCTTGGCCACCTTTTAGAGAGGCAAGCAGTAGGACCCCAGAAAACTCATATTTTGGAAGGAGGGTGTCCCCACTTCCTTGCAGAAGCAGGAGATCCTTCCTGCATTGGAGGGTTGGGTGCTCACCTGGCTGGTGGCAGCCCTCTGCAGGTGGCAGGGGTAAGATAGGGCAAAAGATGCAATATGAGGTTCTGTTTCAGCTGACAGTGGAGCCAAGGTGAGGGGCAGAGCTGGGAGCTCATCTGCAGTACAAGGAATCAGCCATAGCATCTTATTTAGAAGGCTTTTTAGTTTAATATAAATAAAACTACCCTGGGCAGAGCAGGCAGCAAATGAGGCAAGAAACCCTGAGCTCCCACAATACTGGGTCAGCACAGCTGTACCCCTGCACTCCAAGCTGATCATCCACTCTCCTGCCATAAATTTTGCTGGGATTCCTGAAGGGACCTGATAACAGGCCTTCAAATGGCACAGCCAGGCCAGCCCTGTACCAGCCTGGGCAGTATCCCTGGGCCTGGCACCCTCTGAGTGCTGCTCCCTGCAAGGTTGAAAGAGGATCTGCCAAGCGTGACATGAACCCAGGCTTGCAGGAATCTCCTTTAAAAAAATCATCTCTTGGTTTCTTGGCCACCTTGGACCCAGGAGAGGGCAGCAGCAGCCCAGGCTGCAGCCTCAGCTACCCTTTCCAAAGCTCCTCTTCATCTCCTAGGCTGCTCAGCTGATAAAGAAAAGCAGTGTATAGAGGGAGCAGTGAAGAGCAAAAATCCAGTGGGTGGGCTAGTGGTACCCTCCTGGGCTTCAAAATTGTTTGATTTCAAGATGGAAGTGGAAAGAAAACTATCTTTCTTTGAAAACATATTAGAGTGCCAGGGCTTTCCATAGCAG